GGTCTCCCAAGCCAGACAGGTCTCAGCTGAGAAGCCAGACCAACTATGTCCACCACCCATCAATTATGATGAGAGGAAATAAACAGAAATCCATACTGGATCGGTCATCGCCCGGGTCAACAAGGACTGTGTCAGATGCTATAGCCCCAGGGCATTTGGTGACAAATGGACTACAGAGCTCAGCAGATGCTGTTGAGGAACCAGGACAGGCTGCTGCAAAGCTACTGGGACAACTTAAATGCAAAACTTGGACTCTTGCCGGAAATTGAGAAATTATCTAATGTTATTATGAGGCAAACCGAACAGCCCATGGTTTTCAAAAAGAATGATGGAAATTTGGAAAAGGAAACACCCAAGTAGTGACATAACTGAATGATGATTAATGGAAAGAGAAGGTTTATCATCTGGAGTAAAGTGTTTTCAGAACTGGAACTGCAAGAACTAGAAAAGGTAGCAAAATCAACACAGGACAAGGACCATAATATGGAAGACAAATGGAGGGTAGAGGTAGACACAATAGTGCAAGAAAACATATCAATAGAGGAACAACTTATGGAACAACCCAGAAATTATGAGTTGACAGAATGATAAACATCACTGAGGAAAAAAATAGTAAACAATATTAGCCAGAACATCGAAAGACAAAAGCTCCCCAATTTGCACCAGTTAGAAAGTAAACCAGTAAAATATCTACTAAGTGATGCAAATGTAGTCATCAGAACAATCCCAACCAACACACTAAAGGAAACAAAGCAGCTCATGTATAACACAGCTGCCATAATAACCACAGAACTTGGTGACAAGCTAAAAAAAACCCCATAAAACTTCTGGCATTCCAAAATGGAAAATTCAGCTGGAAAGAAAAATAAATTACATGCAGACGTTAGCAACTTAAAACACTTGAAAGATTCAAAACTTTAAAATGAAAAGTAAAAGCCAGACTATGCAAAATACATGACGTAGAAAGGAATACAATTGTTGAAACTATGGAAGAATTAAAACAGTGGGTAACAGCTACAGCAAAGAAAATTGAAAGATATGATGGATACTTCAAACAATTAGAGAAAACATATGATTTCAAAATCCGCAATGATTGTTCTATACATCATTAAGAGAAAATACAGAGCAAAAGAAATTAGGCCCTTGTAAAGATGATGTTCTAAAATTTTGGAAAGAAATGTGGGAAAGCCCAAACAGACAAAGACACCTCATGGATTAAAGACATTTGTAAAGAAACTTAAGGAAAACAAATGGATGATATCATAATAATAACTGAAATGATTAGGAGGCAAGTAAAGTCTGTGAAATTTTGGAGTGCACCTGGTCTAGATGAGCTGCATGGATTTTGGTTAAAGCATTTAGCAAGTCTCCATCAATGTACAAGAGTGCAATTTAATCATTTACTCCAAAATTCTACAACTGAAGATTAGATGGCAACAGGCTGCACATTTCTGATAATAAAAGATCATCAAAAGGGCAATGAACACAGTAATTAACAACCAATTACATGCATTACAACAATATGCAAGCTTCTCACAGGAGTACTGGCAAAATCAATATATAATTACTTAACTGAAAACTCCCTATACCCAACTGAGCAGAAAGGGAACTTTAAAAAGTCAAGAGGCACGAAGGATCAGCTGTTTATTGATAAAATGATACTGAAGAACTGAAAAACAAAAAAACAAAAAGCAAACCTTAACATGGCCTGGATAGACTATAAAAAGGAATTTGACTCATTGCCATGCAGCTGGATTAACACCTGCCTAAAAATGTTTGGGATTAGTAAAAACATTCAGAAGTTCCTGAAGAAAAACATGGAAATGGAAAACTGTCTTAACAGTGAAGAAACTGAGGAAGTTAGCATCAAAAGACAAATATTCCAAGGGGAGTCTTTGTCGCCACTGCTGTTTAGCATCTCACTAATCCCCATGTCAATAATTTTAAATAAAACTGGATTGGGCTACCATATTTCAGATGCAGGAAAAATCTATCATCTGTTATACATAGATGACCTAGAACTATATGCAAAAAGTTCCACAGAGATAGAATCACTGCTAAACACAGTGCAAATATTTAGTGAAGATATCCAAATGAAATTTGGAATTGACAATGTACACCTCTGTCTATACACCATGGCAAGATCCAAAAACTAGATGGAATGGAGTTTAAAAAATGGCAATATTATAAAATCAATATCAAGTGATGAAAATTATAATACCTTGGAATACTAGAAGCATTGTGCACACAAAAGTTAAAGAACTGACAGAAAAGGAAGATGTCAAGAGACTGAGGAAAATCTTAAAATCAAAATTAAATGGGGAAATACAATCAAAGCCATAAACACATGGGCCATTCCATTGATTAGGTAACCAACTAGAATAATAGATTGGACTCAAAACGCATTAGAAGAACTGGATTGAAAAACATGGGGACTAATGAACATGCATCACACACTG